GTATTTTCTAAAACGCGCTGTTAAGACAGCAGGTAAAAGTTGGTCTGTGTTCTGTCGGAGCTGCCTGCGGAGCGCTGATGAGATCCAAAAAGATCGAAATCGCGATCCGCGTCTGGCAGTTTCGACAGAATACAGACCACTTCAAATTATTTTATTCGTTTATGGTAACGTGGCTATCACGTTGAGGTGAGCTACGCCGGGATTCGTTTCAGCAAGTAGATATCCATATATTTAAATGGACCTAGCTGAAGCATACGTAATCCTAAAATGTAGCACTGTACTCTACAGATGGCGTTTACAGCGCCATTTGTCGTATTTTCTATTATTTATTTGTTAGATTGGGTTAAATGTTATTCAGGGTGTTTATGTTAACAGCCAACCTCTAGTAACCATTTATTATTTTAACGTTTAAACCTTTTCGTTTATGTATGTTTGTCTTACACATTCGATAGTTGGCAATGTTTACATTCTCCATTCATGTAGTTTTTATTGCACTACGCTATGTGGGTCTACCACCTATGTTATCAATCCACGCACAGGACCTACTTCGAGTTATGAATAATTGGAATTTTCTTAAAAAAATTGCCCTTAACACACCTTGCGATTGTTTATTCTGTCTAGTTTACACCCTTCAAAGCTCGGCACTTATCTTTGTTTCACCTGTAAAGAGAATTTAACTACTAATATCCAAACGGTGCAATGTAATACCATCTACTGGGTATTTGCTACTATTAAAGTATTTCCAAATTAGGCAAGGCCAACGATATCCTAAGACAGCGGGGCTGTAATAGAGTGACCGATATATGACGATAAATATTTTTACATATATTACACCTATTACGGAGTCGACCATAAATGTAAAACTAGAAGACACTTTTTAGAGGTATTTAAATTTAGTAGGTACCAGCAGAAGGTCATTTCGTACTCTAGTCAAATTTTTAGATTTAACTAATTAGTTGCATTTCTTGTAGCGTGTATTTATTGTTGAAATTAGTTTGTAGTTAAGTAATCTGATAAGATAACATATCGCCGGTTTGTAATAATTTGGTTATTTTTTATTTTACAGCAGTCTCGGTAAGGTTATCTCTTAGTACTCAGGAAGACCTGACCTCAAGGGCTCGAAATCTGTCCTATGTATTATAAATAGGTTATTGAAGGTGAGCAATAAATAATTTTTTGTGGAAATAAGAGTTGAATAAGAATAAGAAACCTAAAACTGTCACAAAAAAAGCGTTATACTTCTAACCATTTCATTGTCTTGTACTGTCTATANGTAATTATGCAAAGTTTATATCTCGGTGTTTTGATTTTGAAATAAAATTGTTGTAATAATCAAGCGCTAAATATTCAGTGTATTTCCCTAATCTTCATCTTCAATCTTCGTTTGAGTCAGAAGATTCATCGTCGACTCCTACTTCAATAATCAAGTCTTCAATGACCCTTTCGACCGCTGGATCTTCTAATATGTATGCATCTTCTTGCTTAATAACTTTGTTGCACACAGTTTCCCATTTTTCGATAGAGAAATTTGAGAAAAAATCTTCACAAAGCTCTTTTACGTCATCCAAGTTAAAAGACACATTGCGTTCGGTAACAAAATGTTTTAGAGCTGCCCAAACATATTCAATTGGGTTTAATTCTCGATGATATGGCGGTAATCGACAAACATCATGACCAGCTTCTTGCATTATTTCGTCGATGTCGTAGATTTTAAACTTCTGCTTATGCAGTTTTATAATTTGGTACAATTCTACTTTAAGCATACTGCCTTCGAAATCTAAATGTCTTTTTCATAGCCAATTCTGCATTTCTGTTTTTAACGAGTTCGAATTAGGGCACTTTTCTTTTTGAACTTTGTAGTATGGGGCATTGTCAATAACTACAAATGACTTTGTAGGCAAATTAGTGAGAAGTATTTTTTTCTTGGACCCACTTTCGGTTGTTGGAAGAATAAAACCTTTTTGTTCTTTTTCAGCGTTCATGAATTGTAGTACATTTGCAAGGAGTTCTTTACACTGAATACTTAACGCTTATTTTCGTTTTCTATTGTTTTCCTGCAAATGGTACTGTACACTTTTGTCTAGTTCTCGCTCGATGATTGGTGGAGAAATGATCTCCGCAGGCAAATATGATTGAATTTGGAATTATGCTACGGTGCATCCTAATAAAGGGAAGGGGCATATCTCTAACTTCTTGCAATAAACAGTATGAATCTGTGATGTATTAGACAGGTAGTTGTAATCCGGAGCTCATGGCAAGAAGGTAGAACACCTCTCTTTCTCAAATATAAGACTCTATTTATCACATAAAATCCACACTTATGTTGGTAGAGACTAACATCACAAAACGTCAATAGTTTGACAACTAATTAAGAAGCATTTTGTATTACCAAAGATTTTGACCAAATGTCATTAGAAACCTGGTTATAACTTAGGTGTACCTTAAAAATTATTGTACTGAACCCCTTACTCAATTAAATCTAACGTCACTCGTAATAGAATAAATCTAATGTAATGTTTTACTGCATTTACTTTTGAAAAAACAATGAGGTTTGGTAAATAATAATTCCTAACAAGCAGGGGCGCAATAAGAGGGGTCTACGGGTGCCTGAGCACCCATTCGATTGGGTTGGGCACCCAGTCAATTCCAGTCGATTCCGATAATAACCCAACTCCGAACTCGATCTTTTCAGCTTATACACACTCGCAGTATATAAATATTTATAGTATTCTGATGAGAGCACCCAGTCAAACTGTAACGGTGTTGCACCGCTGGTAACAAGTACTTTTAATTTTTTGAAATGTTTACATTTTTCAGAGAATTTAAAGTGAACAGTAGGAATTCCTATTGAATTTTTTCGAGTTGACTTCCAAATAATCATCAAAATCACGGCCATGGTCAAGTACAAAGTCCCCATCAAATATCTGACTTGATTCTTAGCAATCTCTATGAGATAGCATTTAACAGAATACCTAATGCAGAAATAAAGTACCACAAACGGCATGGTGCACGCAAATGCTACATTTAGTGGAATTCAATATGTTAGAAAAGATTCATTTACGTTGTTGGATGTCTACATGTTAAACTGAATCCACAGCGTAGTTCACCATACGTACAAAGAAGTTCATGCTGGTCAGTATTGTATTCTGTCGAAACATTCAAACAGATAAAAGTTGCTCAGTGTTCTGTCGAAACTGTCTAGGACGCGCTGATAAATTCCAAAAGGATAGAAATCGCAATCCGCATCTCGGCTGAAGAGGACCCTAGTTGGTCCTAAAACGGCCTGAGGTAGAGGGGTTTTAGTCGGTAGGTCCGAGGACTTCTTCCTCGGGAATCCGACACTACCCAGTCGTACGGACGGCTGGGTGTCTTCAGAAGATTTCCTCTCTTCCACGAAAACAAAAAAAAAAAAAAAAATCCGCATCTGGCAGTTTCGACCGAATACTGATCACCATGAACTTCTTTGGTTAATGCAGGAATGCCAGGTTGATCAGTTAGAACGTCAACTTTTTGAATACCTGCGTTTGATTTTTGAAATTTGTGCCCATGGTGACTTTTAATTGGAAAAAGTTATGGAATAACATGTACCAAAATGAGCTAAATCATCAAGCTGCTTTTTCGTGAGCTTTGTGCTTTGTACGTTTAATTTCCTATAAAAAAAAAGACATTAAAATCAGAGTTTTAAAAAAACGTACTTTTTATTCTCTTATAGCGTGACTGACACTGTTAAGTATACATTAGTATTTTATAAATATGCAGATAATGGCATACCCGCTTTGTTCCCGTTTTAGATAAGTATACAACAGAAATACAAGCATGGTCATTTCTATAATTTGAATAATTACGTAATGTTATGGTCCCTGGTTTTAACTTATAATTATTCAAGTCAAAAAAGTTACAATCATTGGTATTAAAAACTAAAATATATGTAGGTTCCTCTAGGAATTGTTATACAAAATAAAAATAAATTTAAAACATCACATTGATTTCTTTCTAGATGTCTATATTAACAATATTACAGATTAACTCAGTTTTGGAAGACCAGCAGAAATGGAGTCTTCAATTCCACAGTGATTTTGTCCTCGAAGTATTTTAAAATATCCATTATCTCCCCAGTCAGAATTCCACGAGTTGGCAATAAGCCAGTAAGGAACATTATTTTCTACGCCCCATCCTAATATTCGTATTGCGTGACCACCTAAAATTTTCCCTTGAACATGCTGATAAACACCTACAAAAGAATGTCATAAGAAAAATAAATAGAGAAAAATTTAGGCACATAGCATGAGTTATTTCCATTTTTTATTCTTTTATGCAACGCCCACTAAAAAAGTACATCTTTCGAGTGCTATATTGCGAAGCAAAGAGCTGATTCTGAGAATACGGTCTATAACGATTTTGTTTTATTTTTTCATTAATAAATTTGCAGATAATTTAGCAGTAGTAGCATCTAGCAAGGACGAGTTAGAGATAGCTTTAAATAAAAAGGAAGCGTTATTGACCTAAACAGTATTGTATGAAAATAAATAAAAGTAAAACTAAAATACTGTGTGGCCGATTTTAGGTATCTAGGAAGTCAGATAAGTCAGGACGGAAGGAGTAGTAGGGATATAAAGCACAGAATAGCGCAGGATCGAGTAGCCTTCAATAAGAAGAACTCACTTCTATGCTCGAGAACGTTATTTTAGAAATTTGAAAAATGCTGTTAAAGGTGTATGTTTGGAGCGCGGTGCTGTACGGGTGCGAAACATGGATGGTGGGCGCTGCGGAAAAGAAAAGGTTAGAAACGTTCGAAAACTGGTGTTACAGGTGAATGGTGAGGATACCGTGGATGGAGAAGATGAGAACTGAGGAAATATTAGGAAGAATAGGAGAACAGAATACTCTATGGAAGTTAATAAGAAATAGATTCTCAGACATGAAGGTCTAATCAGAGCCATATTAGAGGCAGAAACGGTAGTTAGAAGGGATAGAGGTAGTTCTAGATTGGATTACTGTTCGCAAATAATTAAGGATGTGAGTTGTTCTAGTTTAAGGGAAATGCGAAGATTAGCTCAGGATAGGAAACAGTTCAGGTGCGTGTCTAAGCAGTCTTGGGACAGACGACCTTATTATGATGAAACGTACTGAAATCTGATTCCACTTTTAACCTAATTTTTAAATATTACTGCTATTACCGTTTGATGCTAAATTAGACGAATACCAAAAGTAATTTCAGATTGTTCATATAAAGTATGAGATCTACTTTTGATAAAAAAAATACTACCGTGTTCTTAAATGTTTTCGGTGTACTTCTTCAACAAGATTGCGGATAACATAGATAGGCACGGTATTGTGTACAGGCTTGGGCTTTTTTTGAAATAGCATTTACGAAAACAACAATCACAGAATTTATAATTTCGTTTGTAAGCAAACTCGATGATTGTAGTTTTTCTATTCAGTTAATTACTATTTTCCGCAAATGCATACATACCGCTCTTATAATGAAGCAAGTCTTCATAAACTGTAAAAGCAGCTTCGACAGGTCCATTTTTCATTATTTCCATTTGTATTTGTTTACTGTTTGAATTAACACTGTAAGCCACCTTTCCATAATGTTTATCTTGTTTATAAGGGATACTGTATTCGTCACTACATTTTTCTTTACAGTGTGGCGTATGGCCCGAAGAATCACAAGCAGGTCGCGTACCATTAATATGATGTTCACATGGAGCTATCTCGTATGGTCGGCAACCCTTTTAAAAATAAGTAATTAAAGGGATTCCACAATCATATAGGTGCAATTAGAAATTTTGTATTTCAAGTTACTACTAACTAGTCTAAGCATGTGTTAATATTTCACATTAAGAAATCCACGATTGAATAATCTAGTTCAAAATTATAGCAGTTGTTTCATTTAATTATTTTGCAAAATTAAAGCCTGAACACTGTCAAAAATGAAGCGCCTTCATTCAATCAGCTCAAAACAGTAACAGAATGTGGGTGACAATTTTCACCTCCTCGTCACAAAAATTTCAAGAAGAACTGGTGATTAATCCCAGTTTATTCTTATGGCAGCGCGTAGCCTGGAAGGAATTCCGCAGTAGTCCTAACTTTTATCCTGCCGAGGCTGAGAGTTTCTTCTTATTAGTCAGTGCATTTTGTAACGGAGCTGAAAATCTTCATTTGCCTACTCCCGGTTGTGTTCCCCAGTCCTTGCAAGGTTCCGAAACAGCCTACCCTCGACGAGGCTACTGCAAATGTCATCAAGTGGTTCTGGACCAATGAGGTGTTGTTAGGTACTCACTTTCATAATGTTATCTCTTTTCATATTATGCCGCTATGGTCCGAAATCCAGAGCAAGATCACTTTAGTTCGGGTCGACAGCCTTATAAAGGCTTCATGGCAGTCGACATTGTTGAATACCTTCTAGGGGCATCTAAAACACTCACGTAATCGCTGTATATGCATATGTGCTTAATGAAGTTGGCAACCAGGACTCTGCAGAAACAAGGCATAATAGCTGGGGAGTGGCAAATTGTTCAAAAATAGTGAATACGTGCTCCCACATCGGCGGTTATAAATGTCGTTTCCGAGTCATCGGTGAACCATAGGTCACCATCACACAAGATGGAAATTTTATCCGAAGATCGATTTTCTTTATTGAAGAGAAAGAGGATCTGTGTGCCGTCAGCAGACATTTCATTCCTTGGGTAGCTCACTGAATCACGACATTTTGAGGGGCCTCTTTAACAATTACTTTGTAAGGTTCAGTGCGAAGGAACATCCCCTGAACTGCCGTGGAAGTGAACTTCACCTCACCAGTAATACATACTTCGCAATATCAAGCTCCTCCACTTTTCCAGCTCCCTGTTTCAGGTGCTTCACCAGAATAACGCAGCATAGGTCAAAAGATTACTTCATGACAGTTGATGAGTCACATCTGTCATTTTTCGGAATGAAAGCTACTCTCGTGCCCTGCCATTCTTGTGGAGCATGACCTAAAATTAGACTGAAACGCGATAACATTGTATGAGGGTCATTGGTAACGTCCTCGGGTGTAACGTTCCTATTGGTCAACTGACGGAGTCCTTCCAACGTGTGGAAGTTCTCCTGTAACAGTCATCTCCGTCGGGAAAAAATCGTCCAACCTTCAAATTTAAGGAAAGCCGGAAAGTTATCTGAGATGAGCCCTGTCAATATCTCCTCGTCCGTAGTAGTAGCCACCTTAGAACTTCACAGTAACCAGAGTGGTTATGGAATTATTTGAAAAAAATCCATGCTGCATCTGCTCCTTTACTGATATTGCTGCAGAAGGAAGTCCGGCCTAAAGCTTTAGCTTACTTGACAACAGCCCTATAATTGTTCCTTGGACATTTGAAAAAGTCCCATATCGATGGGCTCTGTTAAAGACGTCCTTAGTTTTCGATCTAAGCATCTCAAAATTGTTCCATCAACTAATACGTCTATTCGTGAGCATCGATTTCGGTGACAGTTTCTACTGAACAGCGTGCTGATTATTTTGCTGAATTGAAGGAATTAAAACGGCAAAAATTTCTGGGACGTATTGTATGCGTATGGTAACCAATTGTGTATTTACTTCAAATCGTCCCGAATATGTAATTTATCCAACACAGAATCCCATTAGGTACGATTATTTACTTAACAATCGGTCATTTATATCACTGTTTACTTCGCTCGTTCGTTCACTATTGATATCATTCTATATGGTTTACGATACTCGGCTGACGGTTTTTGGGTACATCGAGATGGATTTCGTACACTTCTTATACACTTAACATTAAGTAATGATATAAAAATGTAAAAAAATTGAAACAATATTGAAAATTGAACGTTGTATCACTTTCACTTTAAACAGTACTTATGGTGGAAAATCCATAAATTAGGCTGAACTACATACCGGGCACACCAAGAAGTAAGAAACCATGTAAAAATGACTGCAGAATTAATGGATTTGCCAATGTTTCTTATAGAAGAATAGATGTAACAGGTCAATTGAAAAGTCCCCGGCCTAAAATAGTAAAACACATTTTTTTTGCAAAATTCGTTTTTTTTATTCAACATAATTCCCTTCAAGGGTGATACACTGATTATAGCGATCCTCCAACTTTTCGATACCATTTTTGTAGTACGATTTGTCCTTTGCTTCAAAATAGACCTCAGTTTCGGCGATCACCTCTTCATTCGACGAAAATTTTTTCCCAACGAGCATTCTTTTGAGATCTGAGAACAGGAAGTAGTCGCTGGGGGCCAGATCTGGAGAATGCGGTGGATGCGGAAGCAATTCGAAGCCCAATTCATGAATTTTTGCCATCGTTTTCACTGACTTGTGAGACGGTGCATTGTCTTGGTGAAGCAGGACTTTCTTTTTCTGCAAATGCGGTCGTTTCTCGGCGATTTCGTCCTTCAAACGGTCCAATAACGCTATGTAATAGTCGCTGTTGATGGTCCTTCCTTTTTCAAGGTAGTCAATGAAAATTATTCCACGCGCATCCCAAAATACAGACGCCATAACCTTGCCAGCCGACTGTTGCGTTTTTGCACGCTTTGGAGCGGGTTCATCGTGTGCAGTCCACTCCGATGACTGTCGATTGGACTTCGGAGTGAAATGATGGAGCCATGTTTCATCCATTGTCACATATCGACGCAAAAACTCGGGTTTATTACGCGTGATCATCTTCAAACACTGCTCTGAATCATCAACTCGTCGTTGTTTTTGGTCAAAAGTGAGCTCGCGCGGCACCCACTTTGCACAGAGCTTTCTCATACCCAAATATTCGTGAATGATGTGATGTATACGTTCCGTTGATATCTGTAGAGTGTCTGCTATTTCATTCAATTTCAATTTACGGTCATTCAAAATCATTTTGTGGATTTTTTTAATGTTTTCGTCCGTAACAGCCTCTTTTGGGCATCCACTGCGTTCACCGTCTTCGGTGATCATTTCACCACGTCTAAACTTAGCATACCAATCCTTGATGGTTGATTTTCCTGGGGCAGTGTCCGGAAATTCGTTATCAAGTCAAGTTTTTGCTTCAACTGTATTTTTTCCCTTCAAAAAGCAATATTTTATCAACACGCGAAATTCCTTTTTATCCACAATAACAAAAGTTGCTTCACTAAAAATGCTATAATTCACAAACTAGTGGTCCGACAGCCGTCAAATTTATAGACGCGTCTTTTGAAGGTTAGGACTAACTGCAAATCATATGGATTTAGTTCTGGTGCCGCCATCTATGTGTCAGGCCGGGGACTTTTCAATTGACCCTATATATTATGGAGCATTCTATATCTACAAGTTTGAGGTATGCATTTACAGTAGTTATTCTGTTAATCAGTGAATAGAAAATGATTTAATTGGAAAAATGTATGCGGTATCGCACTATCGCACTACAAATATATTTTTATTAATCGTGGCACACCCGACTTAACAAAAATTTTGTGAGAACGCGCCTAAACACCATGGAGCTTCCAAAACATTTAAATGATGAATTTGCTCATTCATGATAGAACGAACTAAATATGTGCATATGTACGTGAGAATAAAATACGTAGAAAATTAAAAATATTCCCTATCATGTGACACTTACCTCCTACGAATAGACAGTTTGTGTTAGATGTACAGAATATTCAGAATGAGTAAACAAAGTAAGTATAACATTAAGACAAGGCGATTAAAAACTGAATATCAAAGGCGATAAAAATGTACATATGGGATGATTAAAAATTGATCGCCATTTTGAATCTACCATCCTGAAGTTGTTGTGGCCCAAAACCCACTTAGTTATGTTACTAACAAGATACTTTTAAGTTGTTCTTAAACAATATTCTTCTCATTAATGACAAAACTATGATGCTGTCCAAAATCGATTTCACAGTTTTTCAATAGCAATCGTGAAATGATATACCTGATGTGATCCATATCTTCCTCCAGAAACGATTCCTGTTCTCACCCAGTAATGCCAGGCAGCACCGGGAAAACCACCATTGCATCCCATTCCACAAAGCCAGCAGCATGAAATAAGATCATCGGCGGAGAATCTAAAGTGAACTGTCCCATTAGAATGAATACATACTCTGTCGGACATTGATTCAACAGCCCCAAAAGCCTACAAAGTGATATAATAAATAAGTTTTTATTACTTTAATTTATTGTAGCTGTATATATTAAATATCGTTTTTGGACAGAAGTTCTAAGATAACGTACTGCAACACCTCAAAATTCATTTGATACCAGTTAATTAAATCAAATGTAAGGTTAAATACAAATACAGTAGATTTCATTTATTTCGACCTTGGTTGTAGCGACCATTTTGCTATAGCGACGTTAAATCTAAGTTCCTTGAATTTAAAGGATACTGTAGTATAAAATTATTGTTGTTATAGCAACTTCGGATGTAACGCCGAGTTCGGTTGTAGCATCTGTTTTTAATTGATTTGTAACAAATCCCTAGTAATCCCATGCAAATATAGCGGCCGGAGTCGGCCACCAAAAACGCAAAGAGCTTTCTTATCTTTTGTTTACATCCAGACAGATGGTCAGCAAGTACGGTGACCTTTATCGTTTGTTTATGGATGTTACACGTTAAAATAGTACAGTTACAAAATGATATTCTGAGTAGCAACTGTTTAACAATCTTTTGAATAAGTATGACTCCTAGATGCACATTTACTGTTAAAAAAAGGTGAAAATCGTTTGAAAATTGAAAAATGGTGAAAACAATATATACGTGTATGTATCTCTGTACGTTTGCCTGTAACGACTTCCGGATATAACGACTAAATTACAGTGGTCATTAAACCCGAAGTCCACTGCAGTTTAAAAAAAAATAAAAATGCAGTCAGGTTAAAATGCTTTTAATTATTTATTAAAGAATCGAGTGAAATAATTTCACACGTTTCGAAATACATCTTCAATTACAGTGTGTTCAAATTGTTCGAAATGGCTCGGTGACAAATATAATCTTCAAGAAGATCACTTCAAGCACCCTACTATAAAAGATCTTCCTTGATGTCACAAGTGACTTTTTTGATGTATTTATACGTATAAAAGTATGTATGCATTATTGTTGAATTACAAGATAGATAACTGTTCAAAAATTATCCCTTCAAGATTCCCACTGAATATGTATGTAATCCTGCTAGTCATTCTCTTAATTTTATACTGAAGAAGTCAAGAAAATTACAAGATCCCCAACACCTCACTTCGGCTATCTAAAATGCTATACGCATCGGTTGTATGGAATCCAAACACGTCTAATCATTCATATAAGTTAGAAAAAATTCAGCATTGTTTTTCCTGACGCATTAGAAACCCAATGTTACGTTACGATCATGACTACTACAGTATATTCAGGAAAATTAACCTTCTATCTATGAAATCCCTCTTAAAAAATATTGTCAGGACTCCTGTAAGTGCTTTCAGAATTAAAACAACGTCATTGTGGTCACTATAAAACCATCAAACTTCAATTATAGATCCATAATTGATTGAATTTGCACTACATTTAATTCTTTATGTATAGACGCAAGCATTACTGCTGAAAGCAGAATTTCTACCTTTAAACAAATAACAAGGGAATTTGTTTAGTTGTACTAGGTTTTAATTGTATAATGTTTACTACACCTAGAATAATTATTCATTTTTAGATTTCCATATGTTGAAAACATCCCTCCTGATTTTATTTCAAACATAACATAATTACTGTTATGTTTATTAAACACCTAAATGTATTTAATCTAATAATTGTATGAATATTAATTATGTTTTCTCTTAAGTTCCACACTTAAATGAATCTTCTTTATATACGAGGGCGGTTCAATAAGTACCCGTGTTTGAAGACGGAGGACGTTACTGAGGGAAATTGGTGTTGTCATCGTGTGCTGCCATCTATCAAACCACGCCAAAACGAATTTCAGACTGATTGATAGGTTAGTTTGGATTTGGCAGCCATTCGACTGAGACGTGTTTCGTTATTTTCGCTAAGATGGAAAAAGAGCAGTATCGTTCGGTAAC